AGTTTACAAATGCTGTTTAAAGTTAATTAAACAAAAGCATAGACTGTACTGTTGTTTAATAAATCAGGTGTCCATCTACTGCATTCAAAAAGAAAGGTATTTCAAATGAAGATAAGATCAAATGTACTTTATTGATCCCAAATTGGGAAATGTTTCCGTGTAAAACAAGGCATTGCACATAATACGAAATGAAAAGAGTAGAAATAAACAATTCTAAAATGTAAACATCTCAAAATAGAAATAAAACAGAATTAGAGAGTAGAAAATATATAAGTTGACCGTGAAGATGTTTTATCTTCACGGTCAACTTATATATTTTCTAAAGAAGAATTAAAGTAGCCTAAATATAAACCATAAAGAAAACGTGTTCATTACTTCTTCTACCTATAATATATTGATCTTTATTTCAAAATGTATTGTAACTATGTTATCCTGCTAGTAATCTCTTTTTTGTATATAAGTAATCTGATTACTTATTTTTGTTTGTAATTGAATACAGTTACCTTTGTATGTATCCTGATGACGTCATCTTGTTCTCTGTTACTCCCTCTCTCAGCTCTTGTTGGTGAAAGCCTCAGATACGGTTCCATATGTTTTTCTTTTCTTTCCACAGACCCCGTACACATTTGCAGTGTGTACAGAACATCGTGGAATATTGCTTCAAGCCATTAATGACAAAGAGATGCATGACTGGCTCTATGCGTTTAATCCCCTCCTTGCAGGAACTATCAGGTAAAAAATACTTCAACAGCTAAAAGTACACAAACAGAAGTGGAAAATGTATCCTTAATACGAATATATATTCTCCTTTCGGCCTCTCAGGTCAAAGCTGTCGAGAAGACGAGCCGGACCCATGAGAATGTGAGACGAGACAGAAGGATGAACGCAGAGACTAAGATGTACATAGATCCTTGTCCTTGTCCCTCCCCTTGTGCTCCCCCCTCCTCCCCCAGCCCCACTACAACAGTCTCCAACAACTATCTTACCCCTGTACGTCCTCAGCTTATCACTAGTGTCCTCAGCACCTAAAGCGCCCATGTTTGTGTCAGGCTTTTGTTGCGGTGTGACTGTAGTCTGAAGAAAGTCTTCAAAAAGCTGTCACTTTCCTGTACTGAGGTTTATTCATAGCTGGACGATTGGAGAAGACTGGAGGAAGTAGCACCAGTTTCTTATCTCAGATTACATACGTATGGTAATGTACTGTAGTTGTTGTCAGTGACACATCAAGCCTTATTCATTTAATCCTCCAAAAAATGCAGTGACGTTTATTTTGATGTGAAGCTGTCATGTCAGCGAGATCACATTGCTTCATTTGCATCAGTAAATATAGAAACAAACATCCAGAATGTTCTCTTCTCTACAGCTATATACAGTATATATACGGTGTCTAAACTGGTTTGCAGTCAGCTAAAAAATACACGCTTAAAGAAAAGAAAGGACAGTTGAGTGTAATTCTTTGGAACAATCTTCTTTCCTGCACTGTGAATCCTGACATGGAGCAATCTGCTGTCCTACTCCTAAACTTCTCCGAAGCTTTAGCACACACAGCCTGGCAAAGGAACATCTCATCTTAGACCTTATGTTATGTGGCATTCTGATCAATCCATGTCATGTTTTAGCTTCTCTTAGGAGCACCGAGGGTATCTACATTCACACCAAAAATAAATTCAATGTCATCACCAATAATCCTCCCAATTGAATCCCATTCTCTACCTGAATTGTATTTGTTTAAAATGTGATATATTTAGATATTTAACAGCTTTATTATTTATTTCTGCATGTATTTATTTACAAAGACATTTATATTTCTAAAATAGTAGTACCGTGCAATTTCTGCACATCGCACTTTTGAATATGAGTTCCTTAAATGTTTGAATAAGACAGCGTTGTGCCCATACAGCTATTTAAACTGCTGAATAATTTACGATTGGCCAATTTCTTTGTGAAGCTGACAATGACTTGAATAATACTACCCCCTGTAAGATTTGGATAGTCACACCTGACCTTTGACCCCTACTAATACACATCTGAAAAGGTCGATGTTTTGTCAGACATAAAGATGGTCTGTCCATCTGCAGCTGCACAAAGCTACCTTGTTAAATAATCAAAAGTATCAATGTTCCTCACAGTACAGAATAAGAAACTCGTTTTCTGAATGATATGTATATTGATTCAATGTAGTGCCTCTCTTTTCAATCAGACTGTACAGTATGCCTCTGCACCATGCTGCTACTGTTCTGGAAGTGTCTGCGGATCATACCTGTCTGCTTATCGTCATCACCTACATTATCAGACTGAAATCTATTACATATCTTAACTGGCAATCGGCTGTCATTAATTGTCCATAACACAGAGTATACTTCAAGGACGTAACGTCTGATTTGAACCCTGAGAGGGAAGGAAAAGCATTTTGTTGATGCATTTTCTAAGTCTGATCTTCTTTAAGGGGATTTTCAGGTAGTTTGTAACATTTCTGTGATGTTTCTTCTGGCTACAAATCATGAATCCTATTTCAAACGCATGGTAGAGGTGCACTAAAGCCTCTTGTGGCCTAAATGAGTATTACAACAAGAACCAATAACCCTCATTTAAAATAAACTTCTTTCCTATCAAAAAAATGTAGGAACTAAGAAAGATTATCCTGGCAAAACCTTTTTCTCCACCTGATAACTCGTAACAAAAGAAAATGATTTCGATCAGACTTAGAAAATGTGCTACCTTCGATCTTTGCTACAGTGCATTTTGTATACATTGCATTCCTGATCATTGAATCTGAAACAGCTCCTGAACTAGTGACAGATTCAGCGTGTGAGATGTTGTGTGAAGTTTAAGGATGAGCATGCCTCAGGTCAGCCAGCCTAGAGAGCGTGCTACAGAAGAGACATTTCACCTGCAAACTAAGACAACATCTCAAAGCATTCAACTGTTAACAATATGATTTGTTGTAAGATGGCACAGTAAGCAGGGGATTACATTCTAACTGCAATTTAAGTATTTGCTTTTATTCAAGCATATATCCAGAGATTTGAAAGTATTCTGTCGGTTGTGGGCAATTGTTTGAAGTGATCCATTCAAAACCTTGTAAATCCTCCATAGCTGTCAGTAGTTGTGGCTAATCAGGCGGTCTAATGTGTGTTCATTTCTTCTGTTGGCTGTGTTCTGTGATCCCTGTTGCCATCACAGCCTTTCCTGGCAGAGACTACAGTTGTGGTTTATCCAGCCGCAGCATCATCATGGAGAGAAAGCCCTGCTGTAAATGACACCGTCAAAAGCACTCATTGTGTCTCATTTCCTTTCAAAACACAATCTTAAAATGTGAGCCTCGGATTGCTCCAGTTTGATCTTTGTGTTGAGATTATTCCTCGTGTTTTTAATGTTCCTCTTTGTGTGTCACTTTTGAGCCAACCAAAGCTTTCTTGGTGCAGTCAAACACAACAAATCACACTGAATGTACATTGATATTTGAAACAGTTGTTCTGCTGGAGTGGTTGTGTTGTCTTTTGTGTTCACAGTCTGATTCCTGATTGATTGTAGGTGGGTTACTGTCAGGGAACTAAACGAAAGTGTGGGATAAACCTCTTGTAATCTGTCCACTGACATGAGAGGGGAGGCTGGTTCATTATAATCACACTTTCACTCTTATCTCAATCTCACCATCATGCTGTCAGCCTTCACAACATCTACTTTTTCTATCCCCATTTGAAAGATATCATCTACATTTTTGTGCTTCCACATCTTTATTTATTTTCAAGTTGCACAAGTGCATTTTTTTTTTCTTCAAATGACTTTGCATTGTATATAACATGATTGCTGTGAACAGTGTATTATAAAGTTGCACCCATTTTTAAATCTGAAATGGGCAGTAGTTCAGTCGGTGTCTCTGAGTGTTGGAGTTTAGCGTCAAATGTTTGTGTACACTAAACACATTGTCATATATGAAATAAACATGGACATTATGCAACACAAAGAAACAGACTCCTCCTTTTATTCTTAATTCAATTAGATTTTGAAACTGTTGACCCAGCATTTATGTATTATCATTCAAGAACATAATACTGTATTAAATATATGAATTGTGGTCAGACCCAGTTGATACACAGAAAAATGTTGGGGTCTTTTTGGAGATTTGTTCGGCTATCTCTAAAAATTGAATAAAACTATAATACTAGGCATACATTTGTCGTTTAAGAGTCCTCCTTACAAGTAGACAGTATGTTCTTAGTATAATCATAGAATTTTAGTACAAATCCAGTGACATTGGGGATAACATTGTAATTGGTATATTTATGTATTTAAAGTTGGCCATGGTTATTCTATACATTTACAAATCATTCAATCTTAAATCTGTCATGTTTAAAATGTATAACCACAACTTTAAACTCTATGTTGACGTTATGATTTTTGCGCATATTGTAATTTAGTCCAAAAGTAGGTGAATGCATAGCCTATACTATACTCAAATAACTGAACATATTTGATGTGTGTTTCTTTTATTTATATGTTGCCCCAAAAAGCTTTTCCTTAAGGAGTCATTTTAATTTATTGTTGTTATTGTATTGTTTGCAATCATAATTTTGAAAATGTTTGGGATCAGTAGTGATATCAATCATCCTTAATGTGACATGTGCCGAATCCAGAGTTGCCATGTCTTAGCACTCTTTATATAACATGTATGTTTATCTTTATTTTTGTAATCCTTATCTTCTGGACTCGAATTAACATCATCTCCCAGGATTTTCTTCAAATTCGACAAATATCTTATTCTGATTGTCAGACAATATCACAATAAATAAAACAAGTGTCACACTTCATCCTGCCTATGTGTAACAGGTTCAAGCATTTTGTGTACACATTATGAATGTTCTTTTTTCATTTACTTATGTTCTAAAAATGAATATGACAAATACACAAATGTAACATGAAAAAGTTAAAATTATATTATTTTATTATAAATGATTTGAATCGTCCTCTTATTGCAGCTTTCCCTTTAAGACAACCCGGCGCAACCCGGCGGAGTAGCGCTTCATCCAAAGAGGCTAAAGCTAGCTAATGATTAACACAGATAAACAGCAGTAAACCTTTTCAGGACAACTTCACATCACTTCTCAAGGTTAGACACACAACCAAGCAGCTCAGCCTGATGTGTCTCACGCAGAGGAACATGTCCGAGTCATGCAACCGTGCTAGCAAAGAGTAGTAGTTAGCTGCATCAGCTAGATTTAGCCAAAGCTAACATATGTTAGCTACAGTACTTAGCTAGCCGAACATCAGCTCGGTCTGGCCATGGGTCTGGCACATGGATGTATAATAATAGTGTCTGGCAGAGATGGAGCGCTTGTTGTTGTCATGCTGCAGTCACAAGTTTCCTCATGTTCTGTGCTAACATAGCACAGTTGTTAGCAGGAAGCTACCTGACAGCCTAGCTGAGTACCTCCCTGCTGCTGAGTGCTGACAGAAGCGAGGTGCTGCCAGCTGATGGAGGAGACCAGACTCCATGTGTGTTGTGTGAACCATACATGTCGGCCATACATGTACATAAAACATGTAGTCTCCACAGTACCGGACAGAGGCGGATCCCAGCTGTCTGAGGGTCAGGGGTAAAATAAATGAAAAAAGGCACTGGCATCAGAAAGTATTCCAGCATGCAGGACACAGTGGTAGTTTAGTATAAAGTCATAGCCACAAGAGAAACCCACAAAAGCCCATGATTGGTATTTCTTTCAGTTACAGAATTTGTGTTAGTAACTTATAATTGTTTTTAAAAACAAACACATTCCCAGAACTTTGGCTCAAATGATGTTCTATTTCGTATGGCTTCACCCTCTAAGGCTATTGGGTAATCCCCCTGCGCACCCGCGCAGCATTGAAACACTTGTAGTCCACGCCCACCCGCAAGGTGGGCCCCACCCTTGATTGATTGATTGAAAAGTTTATTAACAGCTTGTATATTGGGTACAGTACAGCTCAAAACATACAATTGTTAAAGGAATGCTCCACTCATTAGATAATTAATCAAAACTTCAGTATTTAGTGAAACATTATGTTTAAACCATACCCTGAAGAAATCAGCGATATTCCCCGGTAAATAATGATTTTATAGCTCTTTTTTATCAAAACCTGTATATTCTGTCAGGCCGCTGCCATTTTTGCCATTTTCAGTAGTCACGTGATGGTCGTGATGTCATCCATGCGTTCACTTTGTAAACACACGAAAACATGGCGGAGTATTTGAGTTCGGACTCGTCAGCCGAGGAAGAAGTTTTGAGCAATATGAAGAGATTGGATGGGGGAATTCAGCCATACAGGTTCGAGCCAAGTAGTCAGAACCGTCAGGAATCCAGGGACAGTGACAATGAGGATGAACAGCACGGTGATCTTGCTGGAGACGATCCCTTTACTCGTGCAATTGATTTCGGGAGGCGAGTAGGAAGACCTGTACATGAATGGTGTACCTAGAACCACGATTTTATGGGGCCAGAAAAACTGGGGAAAAGTACCCACTAGCCAGTACTACGCTATATGGAAAGGCCACCAAAAACTGGCCTGGCCTGGACGATAAAGGACGTTTAAACGGGGCTACCCGCTGCAATGGAAATGCGCTATAACATACCTTATTCTTACTCCGAGCACTACTTCTGGTCCTCCATCGCTTCACACTTGCAGAGGTCGATTTCTCAACTGGCCGAACTGGTGTCCTGGTCGGTGATGACACCAGAAAGACCGATGGTACTGCATCTCCATTAAGTAATGATTGTTCAATAAATCCCATGTTATGTTTTATCATACTCTCAGAGTAGTCGTCCGGAAACTTGAAATGTTCGCTGCATACATGCGCCTGTGGATCTTTCGGTTCGGGCCGGCCACATTTCGCTAGCCACTGCCTCCGAACGTACTTCCTACGCTTACCTTTTGGCAACAGATGGAACCGAGCATTCCGTGGATTGTTCCTATCAGAATTGTGGCAATGTTTCGCGATACAATGAGGCATATTTGAAGAGAGTAACTACAGTAAATAACATGAACATCAACGTGTCCTCGAAACCAAACGCATGGTTTACATCACGTCCGGTAAAATGGCGCCGCCCACAGTGTTGATGTTATTTCGGTAATTAATCAGTTTAAAATCACTGATAATGTCATCGGATTAAAAAAAAAAAAAAAAAGACTGGCAGAGACTGGTCTGTTTTATCGGATGATAATTATTTAAAAATGAGTGTCATGAGCATACCATTCCTTTAAGGGGATGCAGACCAGAGAAAGACTTTCGTCTTGTTTACATCAGGGTCCCCCATTTCCAATTCATCATATCATTTAAGACATATAAGACATATTTGACATACAGATGGCTTATTTACAATTTACATACAGGTGGTTTTTTACATACAGATTGCTTATTTACAATTTTCATTTTAGATTTCGTTCTAATACATCCTAACCGGACATTTAAGACATACCAAGTCTACAGATATACAGTTGGTAACAGAGTCTAAAATGCGAGTATATACATAGATGGGGGGGGGGGGAAGCTGTCCATTGAACGACAGGTTGAGATTTGTACCATTACCGGGGCCAGTTTTGCAATGCTCTCCCCCGAAGGTGCTCTTTAAGAGAGGTTTTGAAGGTAAGTATAGTTTTACTTTCCTTTACAGTTGTGGGAAGAGCGTTCCACCTTCGGGCTCCCTTCCGCAGTAGCGTGGCGTGGGAAAAAAATTAGGGGAAGCCAATAATACGTCCTTTCTTTTGGGTCGGGGGTGTGGTGGTCAATGTAATAACGTAACCAGATGAGTGATTACAGCACCCAGTATCATTTTACACACATTTGTATCATACAGATGCAGGACTTACACATGCCTGTTATCTAACCGACAGGTCCGCACGCACTCTCCAGCCCAAACTATAATAAGTATTCATTCACAAACTAAATCAGGAGATTTTTTCCTCGCTGTACACAGCTCCAGTTTGGGCATTGGCCTGTCATCAGATTGTATTTGTTGTTGCTGCTGTAGCGGAAGTTTAGTACAATTATTTTTTGATTAAATACTCCACATCTCCACCCTCCATAATTGCACTTGCTTCAGTTGCTTGCTACTTTCTAACGGCGGTGAGAGTGGTGCAGTGAAGCTATCTATCTTCTACTGATTAGATTTATGATTCGAAAATTATAAAAGTAGGGTAGACATGTGGATATCATCCGACTGAACAAAACGTGCATTTATCTAACAGGTTCGTTTTCCACTGACCTTATTTCGTGCTATTTTCCAAAATCCTATGGAGAAATGATCCCATTGCTTTTTTGTCGAGGGAAACATGAGGGAAACCGAGCGCAGCTTACTTCCGGGTTTAAGGACTGCAACACTGCAATACTAAGTTGATGCGATTTGATTGGATTGTGAGGGAATCCAGCCGCCTCTGGCTTCCCTTGGCATGGCCCTGACCAATCACAGGTTAGCAGGTGCATCACGTGAGCCTTGTCTGATTGGTCAATCCCTCCATTTTTTTTCACCAAGGGAAGCCAATTTCGGCTGGCCTCCTCTCGCAACAGAGAGTGCAATCTACTGTTTCACCATAACATCTAGAGGGGCGCTGTTTCACTCTTTGTAAAATACTCAATGAGAATGGGGGAGAGACGGGCCGGCAGCAACACACAGCAAAGAATTTCCGAAAATAAACGAAGTGTTTTTATTTATTTATTAAAATTATAACTACAATCCGAAAAAACAGGGGAAGCCTGGCTTCCCTTGGCCTCCAGGAGAAAACGCCACTGCCCTTCCGGTATAAATAGGAAGGAGACCCGACAATCTGCTCCCTCTTTTCTTCAGCCAGCGTTACTGAAGCACAGAGACACTAAACATTGTCCCTCATGTGGCTCAGGATACATCATGAGCTACGACCAGCACACGATGTGCGAATCCTGCCTGGGGCCAGAGCACATGGACGCGGCTCTCAGCCAGCAGGTCGCGTGCTCACACTGTGCCCGTCTCCCCAGACCAGGCGCCAGAACAAATCTAAAGGGAGGGCATATGATTTGCATGGGAGGGCACACAAAACCGTCACGTGCTGCGGGCCTGCGGCACAATATATATATCAAACAGCAAGGCCAACAGCATTGCGCAAAGACGCACACTTATCGCAAATACATATACAAATAAAGGGCAACATAGAAACCACTTTTGAAACATTGTGTGTGTAGCAGCACAGAAATTGTTAAACCACGAGCAAGGCACACTGGTTAAGGATGGCAGCTTCCTCATCGTTGCATTCGGAAAGAAAGAGACGGAGACGATGAACTGTTCAGCCCGCCTTGGGCATGGTTCATTTTCCTATGCACTGCACTCAGACATGCTGTGGAGTGAATCGTGGTCACCTCTGAGAGGGAGTTGGTTGACAGCTAAAAAAGCTAGAATATCAACGACAGCTGACACGTAATAAGGTTCCGTGCCAGCTGATCTGCACCAAAGTACTCATTTCCTTATTTGTTTCCTCGCGTATCTGTCTCTCTCTCCACAAACTCTCTCTTCTTTTGATGCGGCATGCCTTAGCAGTCCTTTATCAGTCTGTAATGCGTGTTTCCAAGTCGTAAAAGCCGCATCAGATGAAGACGTATTTACTTTAAACTGTCTACAGGGGAAATAAAAGGCTGCGTCTGCTTTTAACGAATCTTCAAGCCGTGGTCTGTTGTTGTACCATGCAGCGGCAAAAATGCGCTTCTTTCCTGAAAACAATGTCCCTGGATAATGATCCAGTTTCACCTGGTTGGGTTTATTAACCCCAAGATCATCTGGGGCTGTTGGTCTTTGAGCGGTTGCTGGCCCAATAGTACCTGTTGATGTGCTGCAAGGTAGCGTCTGTAGTGGAGGCACCGGCACGGAGGAGGAGGAGGAGGATGCTGGCGGGTGTGGTACAGGGTGTGGCAACGCAGGTGGTGATGGTAGGGGCACAAGGAGCTGTGCCTCGGAGGACAGCGTTGGTGGCGGCCGCCTTGATGAGTCAAGGCTTGGGCTCGCTAACTCAGCCCCGGGGTTTGCCGAGGTCAAGCTTGTGACATTAAGGCGTGCTGCTGCAACGGCAGGTGAGGGTCGCCAGCAGCACCATCGGCTGCAATTCTTTCAT